GCAAAATAGGCTTGTAAAATATATAAATAAACACAGAGGTAAAGCGGATAATTTCAGCTAAGTTAACTTAGTCATTTTAAATGTATAAGTGGCTTTTTGATACTATTAGGAAATCATAAATGTGAAAAGTATTTACTCTATTTCAGTTAAGGTGATGAAGGAATGCGAAGTTGGAAAATACCCGGTCTTCCTTGAAATACATATTTGCCCTCTCACCCAAAGGTAGTCGTGACAATGTTACATAGTGGTTAACGTGTCAATATTGTATTACGAACTATCACAGTTCGAATCCTGCTAGGGGTGCTGAAGAGACCGAGGCGAGGTCGAAATTTCAGGCTAGACTGGATAAGAATACCTTTTTGAAAAACAAGGCTATATGAAATTTATATCATTGTGGGAAAATTCGAACTTAGGTCCCTTATTAACTTAAACGAAATAGGTTAAATACATCTTAAATAAACCTTGCGTTTAATACAATTTCGTTTTGTTGTAGTTAATTCTTTTGAGATAATGATTAGCCAAAAAGACAGCTTATACTAGCGGTTAGACTATGTAATGCTGATATAATAAATTTATTTTCTTAAATTATAATGGAATAGTTAAGTCACATGATATCATATTACATATTTTGAATACACCATACGATTATTAAAATACTAAGAAAAGCTTAGATTATACTCGGACACAAAAAGCTAATCACTAAAATAAATTGAAGTATTTCGCATGATTCAGAAAATAAACACATGCAATAATAATGAAAAATTAGTAATGAAAACTTTGTTTATTCTTGCTACTTAAATATCTGCCCTGGTTGACTTCCATGTGGATTAACAATGAATTTCATTACTCGTTTTTCCAAAGAACTTTGATGTCTATTATTAAATCTGGTCCGATACCCCAACATATTGCATTTATAATGGATGGAAATAGACGTTTTGCTAGGTCAAAAGCTCTATCTGGTTCGGACGGACATACTGAGGGCTTTCATAAGCTTTCAGAGGCATGGAATCTTTACTTATTAATAATTTAGGTACTTAAATGGTGTCTTGACTTTGGTGTAAAGGAAGTATCTGTTTATGCTTTTAGCACAGCTAATTTTAAGCGAAGCAAAGACGAAGTAAATTTTTTGATGGATTTAGCGAAGACAAGAATTCTTGAACTTTTAAAACAGAGGTAAATATTAATTATTATCTACTAATATTAGTGATTCCCTTGAAAAAGAAGGTATATGCATCCGGATAATAGGAAATCTTGGCATGCTTCCTACTGATCTAAGACAAATGGCCGCGGAGGTTATGCTTCGGACAAGAAATTTCATTAAGTACATACTTTTAATCCGTACTAATTGAGTAACATTCGAAGCTTTCTGATTGGGCTATTTAAGGTTAAGCAGTATTTCACAGATATCTATTTTTTTGCCCTTATTGCATCGAGATTACTGTTAAAGTACTTGCTATTTATAATCAAGAAATGTGTGTGTTGAGATAGCTAAATTTGTATATAAATATTGGGAATTACTTGATTTTTTGAATTAAAATTCAATGTTAAACCTCTTTCGCAGGGTTTGCATATACTTCCATATAAGTCTTAATTATATGCTTTTTTTAAACATGAGGTTTGCTTTCTCTTTTAATTAATTGTCTGAATCTAATCTTCAACTTGTATCACACTGTCCTTATTTCCTTTATCCTATTGCCGACGTGTTTCTTATCACTACTCATTGCTTAAATATTTATGCATAGTTTTGCTATATACCCCAATCTTGTGATTCACTACTCTTCTATAATTCCTGGTCGTTTGTAAAATATATATTGCTTGTTTAAAGCATTATTTTTGCTTAAATTTATATTTACAAAACCTTTGCAATATCACAGCTAGCTGTAACTTCAGTGCGCAAACAACAGCGATTTTTG